TCCCTAAAACATGTTGTTTTATCTGAAATTTGGTGGTTTTGGCAAACAGAGAGGAAATATTTTCAAGGCAGTAAAACAATACCTATTTTATCTTTTCTGTCACACTAGTATCAAAGAATATCAGGTTACATTCAGGTTGATGGGAATAATTTCTTTAAAAAAACCCCCCTTGTATTAAACTTAATGCCTTGAGTTTGCCATTTTTAAACACGGTACCTCACACATCTGCAAAACCCTGCTGTACTGTTAGCATGGTATCAGAAAACTAACAGCCTCTAGTTTTATGTTGTTTAATTAATCCATGATCTGTCACATTTCATTATCGGACATATCCACTGTTGTTTCTGTGTAGTTCACTCTGTGTCTCAAGGGAACTCAAACGCTTTGGTTGCTGTAAAAGGTGCTTCCTGTCCTGGCCTCTTGCCCAAGCACACGCTGCATGGCAGGTAACGAATCGCAGCCTAATGAGCCTTGGTAACTGAGCTTTCCTGGGGAGCCGGTTGCAGGTTCAGTGACCTGTATTACCCAGTATCTCGTTTGGCAGAGAATTAAGAATGGAGCAGACACATCATCAGCAGATTTTCCTGAGTGCAGACTCATTTGGGTACAAGCTGTCAAAGTCCAAGGACCCTCCAATCTAGTTTTCTAAAGCTCATCTGTCAGTGGAGTATAATTGGTTTATAAATTGGCTTAAAGATAATAATGGAACTAACCTTTTTACACGAAAAGCATGTCTGCAACTATGATAAACTTCTCCAAAGCTTAAAAATAATACTCCTGAATAAGGTATCAGTGAAACATCCTAGTGGGTGATTGGTGATAGGAGGTTAGTGCAGCCTGGTGTTGCAAAATAGTCAGCCTTTGCAGTAACTCATGTAACTGATGTTAGAGCCCTTGTGTGGAAGTTGTTTTGTTGTGGGTTTTAGTAGTTTTTTTTTTAACACCTTTGTCTTGCTACAAGAATGCTAATACGGTGTTTTACTTCTGCGTCAGCTTGCAGCAGGTACCAGCACTCTCCACTGGACTACGATCAATCGAAAAGACCAAAGTGCCTGAACATCAAGTAACTTCCATGAACTAAGGATTCTTTGTACAAAATACTGTGCATTCAGTTTTGTTCAGTTCATTGGTTGTTTTTCTTCATGTCTGCAAATGCTGTCCTGTTGGACAGACTTTTCCCTGGCTGTGTGCAGCATTTTCATTGTTTTAATGTGCTAATACCGTCCATGCATAGATGTGTGTACAGACATCTGAACAGAATGCAGACATCTCTGTGCTTTAACACATGGATTCCCATACCCTGACTGCAAGTCCTTGTGGCGTGTAAAGGTTGTTGAATTGCATATCATGTGAGAGTATAAAAAAATGCTGGTTGTGGCTTTCCTAGTTGAATTAGCTGTGATACTTAATCTGTCCTTCTGTCTCTGCTTCTCACAATATACATAGAATAGCAGAACTGGAGGACTTTTGCTTAAGCATACTTACTTAACTTAAATCACAGATGAGTGCAGACATGCCAGCCAGTCCAAGGGACAGCCAAGTTTGCATAGGTCATTGTATTATAAAGATTCTAATTGACAGATAAACCCAGGACAATTTTAGGTTTAAAATAAACTTGAGGAGTTGTATATCTCTGTTTGTTGTACATTAAATGTGTACAATGTATGAATATACTTTATGTATAAAATACATTAAAAGATCTGTCTTGAATTAGCATGGCTTCCTTTCTTCAATAGACTGTGTTCTGTACTTTCAAGTAATTGCCTTATTACTGTAATATAGTTGTTCCTCTTAACAAAGTTAATGTTCTGAAATTATAAGGATCATAGGAAATGTTTGAAGATTTGCATTTAGATCCTCTTTCTTTGTAGAATTATCTGTTTTAAAAAAGAAGGGAAAACTTGTTTGTACTCTATTATTAAAGTTTACTCCTCGTATGATGGGAATCAGCTCATATCAAACAAGGCAAGGATAGCATCATTTTTTAAAGTGAAGACCGGTAAGGTCATTGCACTTAGTTCACTGTCTCTAGTCAGCTCAAAAATATCCTTATATTTTGTCATAGCACATTAGTAATAGTCAGTGTATGTATGACAGTATTATACAATGCTTATTGGTTAAGTGGTTTGGAGGGGGTGCAAAATACCATCACACTGTAGTCATAGTAGACTAAAGTGTGAAGCCAGGCAATGGAGTAGAAAGTGCAATTTATGAACATTTTTATTAAGACTATTTGAAGACCTATTTACTTGTGAAACAACACTTGTACTGTTTAGCAGAGCACCTCCAGCAGTATTTATCAGTATTTCTTTTTCCTCCAACCAGAGCTGTCCCAGTGCAGTATCTGCAGCTTCTGCAGAGTGCATAAGAGAGCTGGAGCTGGATTATTTCCCATCTCTAGCAAAACTAATGGCACCGGCTAAGAGATGACAGAGTGGCCCAGAGTCGTTTTGCTGGGCTCTGTCTGAAGCGCTGCCCTTGTTCCAGGAAAGAGCCCAAAGCTACAGATTTTCCATCCAGCCTCATTATTTATTTTCAGTGGAGATTTGTGTTGTCTTCAGTTTCTAATGAAATAGATAATGATGACTAAAAACTAAACCAGACAGAGAATGCAAAGCTCTGAGAGGGAAGAGGAGAGGGAAAATAGTCATGTTTTTTCTCAGTGAGAGAAAAAGAAAACAGTAGAGAGTGGGGAAGAAGGGGCTATAATGGATTTGCTCAGTGCCCAGAAATCCTCAGGATGTGCAACCACAGCAGTCTTTTCAGTTAGAGCAGTAGTGTCATTCATTTGCTGAAATGGATGTGTGTTTTTGGTCTTTTAGTTTCTGATCAGTTTAATCCTTGTATCTCCTCCTTAGTTTGATAAAGGTGGTTGTCTCTGCAAGTAGAGTCTGTGGGTTTGGATTGAGACAAATAGTACCGGCACAGCTGTAGAGGGAGGCTGCATTGCAGACAGCAGGCACCTCATCTTCAGCTCTTTTCTCAGACACCTCATCCTAAGTCAATTCAGAGCATCCGGGATATGTTGTCTTACTGCAACAGAGCTCTGACCTTCGTTTATACCAGAGGAGGATGAGGCTTCACGTAGTTGACCAGGGTCGGAGGTTGTATATGGCTTTGCAGTCATCAGGATGAAAGTAGAAGACTTGTAGTAATGCTCAGCTAAGAAATCATGGGAGAGATCTCAAAAGAGTATCTAGTGTCCCCAGAAAGAATATTAAAGACTTTTAGAGCCGTCAGAGTTGACTGCAGAGTACAAAAGCTGAACTGGGAGTTAGACACAGAAATTCTGTATTCCCACAACTAGAAAATCAACATGAAAGCAACTGAGATTCAGGAGTGCTTACAGTTTGATACAGGTAACATCAATACAATAGATTGTAATGATTTCAATTTATCATGCAATAGATTGGAGCAAGTTGTGAGATAGCTGTGAAACATAGATTAATCTAGAGAAGTGAAAATTGTGATACAAACAATATTCAAAAAGACAAAAAGATAAATTATTGTAAAATATAATTACATGGAACACAGTTGACAAAGAACCGTTGGTTATAGTTGTGTTAATTCTTACTGAAGGAAAAATCTCAATTCCTTTTTAAAGGAGGGAAAGACACAAGAGTAGCCCATTTTGAACAGGAAGACTGCACCCGTTTTGTGGATGAGCATATGATGGACTTGAGTGCTGTTGACTTTTGTGAGGAAACAGCAACTCGGAGTTAGTCCAGCGTATTCTGCTGCCCACCTCTGGTTGTGGTCTTGCTTGGGCAAGGAAGGTGCTGCTTCAGCTGCGGCATGCAGCAGGCTGAAAAGTTTGATCTCTGCGTAATCTGCTGAGGAAAGGGCGGCTGCCTGTAACTTAAGCACTGACCTGATCAGTCAGCGTTAATAGGAGCATAAAGGTGCATTGGTTTCTGAGTGGATGATGTACAAGACAGAGCAGTCACATGCTCTGCAGTTTGTTTCTGACCTTTATATCAGAAGCATATAACACAACTGAATTTTATTTAAGCACTCCCGTAGGATGATTTTATTTCAGCCTTTGAAGACTCAGTACTTTCAGCAAAAAGTGCTAATGTAATTATGATACGGCATTCATGTTCACAAGACCCTAGAGCTGCGTGTTTAACTGGATTAAAGCAATTGGAACTTGATGGAGTTCTGGCCTTAAAAGTTGCTGGTTTTTTATTTATTTAATCATGCCAGAATTGAACAAGGAAAATATTCTTCTACTGTACCTTAGCCCTAGTTGTCTTGACTCTGCAACTGCTCTGTTGATGATGACTCAAAGCCATGGTGAACTAATTAAGACAGTTCTGTGTTACTAACAAAAGAGCTGCTTTCTTCCTCCCTCCTCCCCCCAGCAGTTTGTCAAACAAAATTGTATCCTATACCAAAATGATAAAAATCTAATGTATCCTGGCCCTCTGTCTCTAGTCAACCAACAGTATTTTGTAATGCTGTTTCAGTACGTGTATTAGAGGATTTGTGTTTTACACAGCCCATTAACACAAGGGAATCATTAATTTCTGGAGAGTGTCTTTGCCAGAAAGATGTGGGCTCTAAATCTTCTATGTACATAGAAAAGTACTGTCCATCTCAGTTATTGTAAATGGGTATGATCGTTATTGGAAATAATAGTATAGTAGTATTCTATGCTCTGCATTTTAAATAACTGCATTTTACAGTTGACATTCTTTTAGAAAATGCACTGATATCTTTGCATCTGTGTAGAAATGCTTAGGTACCATGTTTTAACATTTTTTCCCATGGATCTGGATCATAAGGTACTGCTATTTCTCATTTGTAGTTTTCAGTGCTGTGCATGCATCTTAACATAATTTTGTCTCATTTGAAGTATTTTTGTGCTAATGTAGTTGCTCTTTCCACCCTTGTTTTTAATACAAACAAAGGGCACATGTGTTACATCTGCTTTCTGAAAGTCGTCTTTCAGAACTTTTAGCAATAGTTAACTCAGCTGCTTGTTTCTTCTGTCTAAGGGGTCGCCTGGCCTGATATGCACCGTCTGGCTGACAGAGTCCATCTGGAGGAGCTGACTAAAATTGGCATTCTGAAAGGCAATGTAGATGACATGGTGAAGGTTCATCTGGGTGCAATATTTATGCCACACGGACTTGGACATCTACTTGGAATTGATGTGCATGACGTTGGAGGCTACCCAGAGGTTAGTGTTAGTCCATTCTCTGCCTTGTAGATTAACTCCTCTCAATTTGATCAGCATTTCTCTTAGCTTATGCATTATTAGCTGGTTGCATCTTCTCAGAGGTGGCGCAGATGTGCACTTAAGTGTGCCTTTTTCTGGATGTGATATTTTATGCATTTTACTTTAAGGAAATCTATTAGTTCATTAAAACATAAATTGCTTATGAGGAGAAGTCAACTGATGCCGCCCTTTGGGCATTCTTAGTCTCTTCAATTTCTACATAAATTGTGTTGTTCCTCCATGAATCACCACTGTAACGTATGTCACTCAGGTATACCGAATGCTATGACAGAGAGCATCTCGGTCTACCTGAGCCCCTAGTGGGAAGACTCACTTGGTCCATTCCAGATGTGAGACAGCTGTGGGAACCCACTGCTGCACTTGGGCTAGTAAATCTCGATGACTGTGCCATGTGGAAACAAGCTTGTTCATATTCCTGCCTTGATCTCCATTGTCAACATGGGCACCAATATAGATGTGTTGTCTTGGAATGAGAACAGAAAGAAAAAATCCAACAAGTCTTCCAAATGTGAAAACATAATCTCTTGTATTCTGAGTTTCTGCAGAAAACACAGAATGATTACCTTTTTCCTTGAATTAGCATGATGGTTCATGACTGTGGTCTGAAAGCAGAATGGGTAAAATTCTGTAACCGATGAATGGTAAGATATTTGCAGTGATACTAAAAAAAATAAATCTCTAAGGGGAATTGTACTTAAGGTTTTAATAAAAAAACGAAGTTTACAGCAGCTTCAGAAAGATCAGAAGGATTTTCTGTGTTATGTTTGGGTTATTTGAGGCTAAGGTTTAAATGTTTTCAATAATACAGTATGAAAATGGATCATTTGCCTTCCTTCTTACATAAGATGTTATTTTACAAGAACCTGAAAAAGAAACTTCAGAACTTTTTAGGTAAGGTTTAAGCATATTTTGGAGTTTGTTCATGTTGGGTGGACAGGCTACATAACAGCTGCTGCTGCTGAGTTCACTTTTGCAGTCAGGGAAGAAATAGTATATAATATCTGATGGTACTAGTTATGTTCACAATATATTGATTGTTGAGACACAATACTGTGATGACAATGTATTGGCAAGAGCTAATAAACTTATACTAATAGAAATGAAACAAAATCAAAAGCAACCCTATTCTGATTTTAAGGTTTCTTCATTAGCTAATACAGAAAGGATGGATGTTTCCACTCTCCACTTTTGTAATTAACATGTGTAAAAAAATACCTGAGCTCTATGCAGGTAGATAATTATATATCTGCAAATATTAAAATTCTTTGTTTGTGTAGACATGCAGCTGCATTCTTGCATTAACAATGTTTGCGTGGCTAATTTACTTTCAAAATCCAGTGCTAAATAACAAATTTCCTGAATATGAAGCTGACATCCTAGATTTGCATATAAATGTTCATGTAGATAGAGGTGAGGCATCAGCTTGGTTTGGAAAATAATAAATTTGGCATTCTGCAGAAGGACAGCCCCTTTAAACTCTCTCTGCGGCATTAACTCCTGCTCGGTTAGACCCAGCACTTCTCTCTGACCAAAAGCATGAGGTTCCTTTTGTTGCTCATTTGAATAAGGTGAGGTACCTGAGCGCTGGAGCACCTGACACTGGGAACCCCATGTGAAAAGCTTGATGATGGGGTGAACTTCTTGATGCTTCTCTGGGCTTGAAGCTCTAACGGGAGGCACGGTCACTGCCCATGGCAGGAGGGAGCTGTGGGGCTGCGGTGCTACACGCCAATGCCTGCGGTGCTCGGAGGCTTCAGGGGACGTGCCTTCCCCCAGGTAAATCTGAACATGAGCAATGGGGCACCTCTCATGCCGGTGTGAAACATGTCTGTATTAAATGGGAGAAACACACTTTTTATGTGTCTCGTTGTTCCATGAGAAATCGCATTTTGAGACATCTGGTACACTGTGGAGTGATTTTTTGGTGCGTTTTAAATGTTTACCAGCTAGCAAGGTTTTCACAAGGATTTTCACAAAGTCATTTGTGTGTTTATTGTACACTGTAGTATCATGCTCTTTTTTTCTAGCTGGTTAAGAAGCAAGTTATTTGCTTTTGGCCAAGAGAATTTCTGGGAGCATTACAAAGGATTTTTTAAAAATAAAAACTTTCCAAGTGGATATTATTCCATTATTTTTCCTCAAGTGTAAACAGTTACATTTGGAATAATACAATAAGCTTTAATTTCCTAATTTTTATCCGTCACAAAATTTTATGTGTTCCAAAAAAACTATTTCCAGACATTGTTAGCTTAGATTAGTTATTCATTAGTAGCCAAAGATTTCTCTTTTTTTTTATTGGCAATAATAAGTTTTCATCTTTTCCAGTAAGCTGCTTTCACATGCAGCATTGAACAAGCACTTTCTTCCTCTTCCACAAACACTATAAAACATTTCACATTTTCTTCAAAGGATACTCTGGGATATTAGAAAAATATCTTTCCCTTCCTTGTTTTTTTGCCATGATAAAGAATAATTGGTTTTGGCCAGCAATAAATGTGGCTTCGCAACCATGTTTAGGGCAAGATGTTTAAAAGAACATAACCAGCAGTATTTCCCGCTGAAGCTTGTAAGTAAATGTCCTGATTTTCAGAAGCACTCAGCAGTTAAGAGCTCCTTCGGGAGTTGGGTCTCCTACAATGTACCATGGTATTCCTCACGGGGAAACCAAGCGTCAAACACTTCTTTGAAAATCTTTCTGCTTCTTTTAAGGGTCTAACTACAACTTGAGCAGTTCTGAAAATTCGGCCCCAGTGGTACTAATCACTTCAGAAAATCTGGCCCTTAGTCAGGCAGAGCTAGCTTCAAAGTGTGAAAACTCCACTGGGCTTAGCTTCAGCTGTAAAATTTAATCATGGAGATGGTTTTCCCACACTCTT